AGAAGATGGTGTCGTGAGAAGATGGTGTCGTGAGAAGATGGTGTCTTGAGAAGATGGTGTCCTCAGGAGATGGTGTTGTGAGAAGATGGTGTCGTGAGACTTTTGACTCCAGCCGACGACCGGCAAAGAAAAACGGCTTGGGGCCAACATTGACGGTCATCCAGAATCGTCTGACGGCCTCACACTGCTCGACCGAACACCACCTTCGACCGATCCGTGGTGCGGTTCTCCGCTGCAACTTACAAGGGTACTGTTTGCCCGTGGCGCGGCGGATGCGGGGTCTTCGGACCTTGCCACAGCGCGGGTGATGTACAGTACATGCAGCTTTTGAGGACTGTCTGGCAAGTTGACGCGGAAAATTGGTCGATGCGGGCGGGATATATTCAGCCGCCCACAGACTTACCGGAGCTAAATCCTAGTCTCAACTTCCACGAACCCGTCACTTTCAGTTTACCCTTGACGTTTTCGTTGCCGTCTACTCCATTCAAAGCTTGAACCTACCTCCAAGTCAGTATGCTCTCACATTGCCAGCATGGCGGAGGCTTGACTGCCGACTTCGGGCCGGATGTTGTCTATTGTCACGACTGCAGCCGTGAGTGGTATTATGGTGATCATGATGAACCATGTCCAGGCTGCCAGGACGAGGCGGTGGAAAATGTACGTATCGGCATACGGAAAGGAAACCAAACTGAAACGCACATGTCTCATCGTTCTAGGCCAGCTGCGACAGTGACGCTCACGGATTTGACCAAATACCGCCCAAAAGGTCCAGCGACACACACATCTCGCACGATCAAGCTCCGGGAGGGTTCGGCATTGGAGGAGGTTCGCACACGAACTCATCACTGGCTTTGAGTTGAAACGTGAATTGCGATAATGCTGACGAGACATCTTTGCCAGATCAAGAGACACTGGCTGCAGCTGGTCAGCCTCGAGTAGGCCAAGCTAGGGAAGCTATCATTGGTGGCGACGCACCTCTTCTTTGGATGACCAATGACAGCCTAATCATCGCTGCGGACAACGTCAGCCTACTTCAGTCGTGGGTTTCAAAGTTGAGTCGCACAGCTAGGAATTTACCCAGCTAATCCGTTTTCACTAGCATGTTTTCTCGAGATAATCTGCCGACGAGACGCCCTGACAATAATGCCGGTATGGCTGTGCGAAATTCGGAGTACGCAATGGAGTTGTCTCGAACAGTTCATGAACTAAATGGACTTATAACTCGGCTTTTTCAGTCGGAATCAAGTACTACGGCCCACCCCCCAGCGTCTCAGAAGGCTCTTCAAGCCCTCAGCCGGCGCATTGTGAAACAAACTGGGGAAAAAGCGACCGAGTGTCCCGTCTGTCTTGATGGTACCAAGGTAGGGGACATGGTTGTGGCTCTGCTTTGCAAGCATCTGTTTCACTATGATTGCATCTACCCGTGGCTGAAAGAATGTTGCACGTGTCCCGTTTGCCGGACACCTCTCGAAGACGGGGAAGACGAAGGATACAAAAGCGCACCGGCTAAAGACAGCCCCGCTATTGGCAATATGCCATGACAGTTAAAAGACAATCGTGGCTTGACCCAGACGAAACGGCAGTTCCGGTACTAGGGTTAGGATTATCGGTCGCAGTGCCGCTGGCTCTCCGCCCTGCCTTGCCAGAGCCATCAGCAGGTAGCTCTAGTTGATCAAGTTATTGTTCAAACTTATGATGGTTCACTCAACCTTCTGGTTCTTCCGCGACACGACAGCTACAAGACGTAATAGGATTGGTAGGCATAAGAATCTAAGTACAGTACATAGTCCTATGTCACTGCCAATGATGCAGTTCGCTTCCGGCGTATTTTTGTCAGTGACCCGTCCCTCTTGTGAAACAAGGGGAACTCAGGACGTTCACAAAACTGCCTTGCGCCTGCCTCACTGAACAACGTAGTTCTCGCCAGTTCGATAGCGTATATTTGTGACCTTCTGTCCCGTGGGGGTATGCAGATCGCCGAGCGTGTGTGGACATGCGGGCTGGTTGCTCTTGCTCAGATCCAGTGTGCATAGCTCATCCCAGCCGTATCGACAGCCAGGGTCCAATAAGTTGACAAGCTTGTGGTTCTCCGCGACCCAATTCTTGCCCCCGAGGCACGACCCGAGATAATTCATGCTGTTTGCGGCAGATAATACCAGCTTACCATCATGAAGCAAGTATTTACACTCGTCCGGGTGGACCTGCTCATACGCCATGGCAATACCACCTCCTTCATGAGGATCTTGAGCCGCACCAGTACCGAAGACAAGATAGTTCCATGCGTCGTAAGATACGTCATGAGCACCACCTGACTGATCCACGCGCAGCAGATGGACGCTGCGCCCAGCGTTGCTGACTTTGACACAAATGTTATCACAGGTAATCTGCTCCGGCCAGAAGGCCACGCGGTTGGTGTTCAGCTTGCATCCCAGTGCGCCGATGGAGGAAGAATACTGCTCATGCGGTGTAACGGTGATAGCTCCCTCTTGTCTACGGGCGCGAGTAATTGAACTGTCGACGTGTGTGGTGAAAGCAATCAGAAGGGCAGTCCTAGACAACATCGTGTCTTCTTTTGTCAAGATAAACCAGCACAGTAAGCGGGTGACCTAGAATTCTGGCTTGCACCACGGTTAAGTACTAAGTATGCGACTGGTATGGAGATTTGCCCATTGCTGAAGTATATACAGTAGGCGATGCTAAAGTAGCTTTAAGGAGCCTGTAATACACATCCGGACAAAGAGTTGGACCCCATTATCCACCGTGGCATTCCTCGCCAGCTTGCTGCTTGAAGCCGGCTAGTTGCACATCCCTAAAGCCGTAAGTTCCCATTGGCCCAGATTCCTCCATTTTGTAAAGTATCGCCATCCGTTCTTCTCGTTTATGCACGCAAAGCAAGCTGCAACAGCCTTGCGATATGATGAATTTTCTGCGCACCGTGATGTCGCATTGGTGCCAGCTGTCCGGTTCGGATTATGCCACTCATCGTAAGGGGCGAAACATTCCGTTTCGCAGCCTGCGTCGCTCAAAAGGCTACAGCGAGCTATACTGAAGTGTAGAGCGCCGAGGAGCGCAAATCACCAAATGTCCATCATCATGCAAGTTGTCTCTGGACTTGATGGGGGCAAGGGGCAGTTGAGGATGTAATTACCTCAAAAAAAGCCTCACAAGGAAAGCAAAACTGTAACTTATACTACGTCGATGCCTTCATGATATCGAGACGCTCGGGGTGTCTGCGTGTGCAGGTCCGGAGCGTCTTCACTGATTCGGTCCATGGAAGTGATTGTAGCCAAAAACGGCTTCCCGGCACAGGTACTGTCCTGTTCGGTAGGGAGCAGCAACTGAATCCGTCAAGGAGAAGAGCTTGGCTCTGGACACCCTGGGCAACTCGACACCGCGATCCCGTTCCGGCTGGTCAAATAAGGCGAGAGGCAAGCTCTTAGGCAGGAAAGTATTGCACGGTACTGGAGTGCAGCACGCCGTGGAATGAACAACGAGAACCGCATATACAGTACACAGTGGTTTGCGTCGCCCTAATTTTGTGATCACTTCCGTTGTATGCAAGCGGCCGGTGGCAACTGCACTTGGAGCACTTTGCACTGCTTTATACTCCCGTGGGCTTCTTACATCTTCCTACTTCCTTTGCCAAGCCCACTGCCAAGTGGCGACACAATGTGCAATAAGCTCGCGAAGAAATGGGATGGATGGACCACGATACGTAAGTCAAGCCTGCAAGACGATATGGCTTGTCAAAGCTGATTTGTGTAGAGCCATGGCAGCGGTACGTGGCCATAATGACAGAGATATTGAGGCACGGCTATCTCATCCAGGCAGCGATAATGAATATATCCTTACAGGATATCGGTAAAAACGCCTGCACCGGACACGAGTGTGGCCTGCTGATTAACTATAGGAGCGCGTCCTACTCGTATATCAGCTCCTTGAGAAGTGTCTTCAGTTTACACAACGAGACTGGCAAGTACTCCCGGTCCACTTGCGCGTTGCAGTTCTCCAATAGGCTTATACCGTGTCTAGTCAATATATGGTCGCATCTTTTCGGAATGGCCTATTTCCTGGTCGGTATCGTCCGCTTCAATCAACGTCATTCGCACACCTCCGAAAGTGCGCAAAGTCCATCTACATACTCCTGCGACAAGGGCATAGTGTCACTCTACTGCGCTTCGGTTGCAGTTTGCTTCGCACTCTCTGCTATTTTCCATACATTGTCAGATCAAAGCTATGCGTTGCACATTATCAGCAACAAGCTAGATCACTTGGGCATAGTTGTCGTCATGTGGGGCACGGGCGTGTCCAACATGTATCTTGCCCTTCGGTGCGAGTCTCCGTATGTCAAGTCTCTATACGTTGTGACCTTGACTTTTGCAGCAACGTTGTGTGCGATGGTGACGCTACGACCACGTTTTCGGCTCCCAAAATATCGTACGGACAGACTCTACCTCTATTCCTTCTTAGGTGCCGTCTTGTTCCTTCCATCTATATGGCACGCCTGGAAAAGCTTGGGAGCTCTCCATGCGCTAAACAAGGCAATGGGCTTGCGGTCTTTTATTGGATTGGCGTCTATCAATTCGCTTGGGGGAGTGTTGTATGCCACCAGAGTTCCTGAAAGGTGGTTCCCGGGAGCCCTGGACCTGGCCGGACATAGCCACAACTGGATGCATGTTTTGACAGTTGTAGGCGCCATGGTTAGACTGCAAGGACTGCTCTATGTGTATGAGGACTCGTTCAAGATAAAAGTATGTAAGTACTCTACGGGGTCATGACACAGACACAATCGTGCACTGGTGGCTTAATGGACCAGTCCAGTCAACGTATTGGCGGTACCGGAGTTGTATTCTGCGCGAAGGATGCTCCGTTGGACATAGGAACCTATTCATTTGATGTCTGGCCCCAGCCTTGTGGGATTTGCGTAACCTGCATTCGCCAAAGAAGCTCAAGTCGAACCTTGTCGCAGAGTCTAGTGATGTCCAAGGCTTTCTGGTAGAGCCCTCCTGCTATAGCCCTTTCTTGATTACTCACTTGCTTCCAAATATCGGCACGAAGTTTCCCCATGACCTCATACAAGAGATTCAGCTCCACTGTGCGCCACTCCCGTAGTCCGTGGGTGCGGACATCTTCAAGTACTCCGATACCGTCACCCCGACACGCTTTCTGAAGAGTTAAGAGCTGCAACTGCTTGTTCGTCTGCAACAAGGTGCTCAATTGCTGGGATGCTGGGGTTTCTTCGTCTGACTTTGGCTCGTCAATATTGTCGCGCCAGAGCATCACCGTTTGCCACCAATCCGGCTTTGTTGAACAGGCCATGTTATTATTGTTGTTATCCGACATGGCCCAATGCTGAAGCTTATCCTGAGATCAAATTCTTGTTGCTGAATGCACGCGCGAAGGAACCCATGGACACGCACTACAGTGACTCTTCGTTACTGAGGACTGTGCTGTACCAGTACTGTATGATGAAGCGAGGGGAACGGAGATTGAACGGATTTCTGCGACAGCTCGGGTACGGTACAGTACCGTCAGAGACGCCCGATGCGATCATAGAGGCAGCCGGACTACTACAGTACCATAGCCAGTTATGGCCGATTAATTCTCCTGGTGAGCTTGACCATGGAGCTTCCATCCCACTGCTGCCGACACTCCCTTTCGCCACCGGCACCCTCTTCTGTTGCACACCACACATTCTGCAAGCCTTCATGCTTCACAGCACGCGTCCTGCAAGGCTTCAGGCTTCACGCCACTCATCCTGCGAACTTCGCACCACTCGTCCTGGAAGCCTGCCAGCTTCACACCACACATTCTGGAAGCCGATTTTGCTTCACACCACTCGTCCTGCGAGCCCACAAGCTTCACATCACACTTCCTGCAAGCCTGCAGGCTTCACACCACACGTCCTGTAGGCCGATTTTGCTTCACACACCACATGTCCTGCGAGATTCACACCACACATTCTGGAAGCTGATTTGGCTGCACACCACACGTCCTGCAAACCTACATGCTTCACACCACTCATCCTGCGAGCTTCACACCACTCGTCCAGCAAGCCGACTTTGCTTCACACCACCCAGGCTACAAGGGCCGTGTGACAGACAGAGGGGACCCAGAAATCGCTCCGGTTCTGCGTGTTCGCTACCCAGTTCCCGAAACTCTCTGCAAGCTTCATCCCACTCAGTTCGTACATGTCCATTGTGTCGCACAACTGGCTAACCCGCCCCGTCTGCCTGCAAGGCAGCTGCGACTGTCTCGGAACGACAATACTTCCCATTGTCGAAAAGCCGAGCTGTACGATTTCGAGCGGTGCTTCAAGAAGTTCTTGCTCCTTAGAACAGATGCCTCATCATTGACGGGAGTTAGACCCCACAGCTGGAGGCACCGGCTGTCTAACTAAACCCATGCACAGCGGGGAGATGTGGAGTGTCGGGCCAAACCCGTGGCGCGTCGGGTATCCGCAGACCCCGGTTGCCTTCCCAGGCAGGTTCAACACGTCTCATTTCACCAAGGCACGAGAATATTCACCAGGCGTCGGATACCGGTAGTAGACGAAGCTACAGAGCGGAAGAGTCCCGTGCATCGATTCAGTTAGCGGTTGGGGGACTTTCAAGGACAGTCTTGTTACAGTTTGTTTGTATTCTAGTGTGGACACTCTCCGACTACTCTTCCGCTATGTTTGGATCCTTCTGGGTGTCACGAAGAATACTTTTCATCGAGAGATACAATGTGTCGTCTTCTGACACCCACCTCCTGCCATTGGGAAACACCACTTTCCGCAACCTATTAACGCAGGGTATAAGAGGTTGGTAATACGTTGTAAAGTTTTCCTCTGCTGTTTGACAGAAGTCTCTTTCGTCAGAGACCTCTCCCTTCTTCAGTTTTGCTAGCTCCTGCATGCCAACGTAGTTCCACTTGTCGAATTCAGTTGGCCCAATATCATGGCCTGGCCCGTCGTAGTGGATGCATATCCAGAAGAGGACCCAGAAGAACGACTCGAGGTCGTGCATAAACGAATGGTGCTGTCCTAGGAGTGCCCCAATGGCCATGAATGCTCTCGTGCCGGTTTTGCCCTTGGCCCCCGATGCAATCTCTCGTTGTTCAATGACAGCAAGGTCCAGGTCAATCAAAAATGATCGCCAAGAAGGGTTTCTTTCGTCCTCATTAACCATGAGGTTATTGATCGAGATGTCCCTGTGGAGAAGACCAGCTTTGTGCAACAACTCGTGACCTTCGATGCAGCCTTCGAGAGCAGAAAGTAGCGCCGTGCGCGAGCTTGCCTTGTAGATTGGCTTTCCGTAGTCGCGAACAACAACTCGCCGATGCACCCGATTCGGTAATTTTTCGCTGCTTGCCGTTGATGGAGACGTTGGACGGGATCGCTTAGTCGGCGGCAGACTGGCGCAAGTATCGCTGGAGGGTCGTTTTACGCCAAGGCTGCTACTTCGTGCGTTGCGTAGAACAGACGCGTTCGCACTCGCACTTGACTGCAGCATTGCACGTCCTGATCGATAGTTCGTGGCTTTGGTGACGTCCAATCCCTTTCGAATGTTTCCTTGTATGTCATCATCGGCATTTCGTACGCGAACGGTCTCATGGTGGTAGTATCGGGCAACATTAGCAACGCCTTTGTTGGTCGCCTCTCGGAGGAGTTCGCCTTCTTCGTCCCGATCCAGATATTGCCACGAGTCTTTGATGACGAACGGCGTCTGTGGATCCTCCTTCCGATGGGCTCTCCAACAAACTGTTGCCCGACCAGCAACACAACGTGCTCGCTTCATGACCTCGTCAATGACCAGGCGTTCTGTTTTGTCGTTTCGTTCGATGTCGATATATTGTTCGTCGCCGGATGCAATTACGGTAGGGTCAAACCCAAGCATCTCCTCATCCATTTGTAGAAATCCCAATATCGTCGTAACAAAACGTAGCGCACCATCCGCCTTATTGATGTTGAACTGTTCGGAGGCGACCCCTCCGAGCCGGTCGAACTCCCACATTCTCATAAGAGACCCGCAGAGAGTGAAACCCAGAACGAAGCGACGGGTGACTTGGGCAGCGAATACCTCTCTTGCATACCTTGCGAGATCAGTCCACGCGATCGACGCCGTGTCAGCTTTCGGGTTGCTTTTCAGTTCGCCGACAACGAGGATATGTGACCAATGATATGTCGAATCAGTAGAGTCTGGCTTGCATGTGGCGTCATGACTGACGAAGCCAATGTCCATGCTACGCTTGCCCGTAGAGCCCGCCAGTGGAGACCTCGGCTGCGCCAACAGCTTTCGACTAGCCACCGGACGCGAACTGTGGTCGACTGCAAATGCTTCTAGCTTTGGGATTAAATCACCAAACCAAGCCAGCACTTCGCCCTCCTTCGCAGCTGCCGGCCACCCAGCCCACCCATCTCTGAAGAGTGGAGTCTCGCCTTCAGAGCATTGCCGGAAAACAGCCTCAGAAACCATATCAAGGGCTGGCACGTCTCCAAAGAAGGTCTCGTGGAAGTTGGGAAGTCCAACATAGAGATATTCGAGCTCCAGCTTAAGTATCGGGTCCACGTCATGCCTCAATTCCGACGAGTTCACCAGACCACTCGTGTTCTGGCTCAACGGTGTTTGTTGGGTCGACGGCGGTATCGGCCGGCGGGGCGGGGTTGATTCGACCGCGGCAGCAGACACAAGGTCCCAAATCAATGCATCCTCCTGATTGTCCGCAAGCGCTGCTTTGAGGAGAGGTTTGACACGGTCAAAGTCGAAGTCGTCGGAGGCGACGGTAGATACTAGCCTCAGAAGCTCATTTCGGACGGTGCCCACACCTGAACTGGATTGTAACTGACGAGACACAGGAAGAATCTGAAGTGCTGATAGCAGACTCGATGCAAGGTCTTGGGCGTCTGCGCTCTTGTCAGACGGATTCCACGCAGGTGAGGGCTTGCCTTACCTTCTCGTCCAAGCTCATCGATCTCGTCGGCTGAGCGTATGCCAGTACTATTGCATATTGAATCGAACGACGCGTGGAAGGCGTCTAGCCCATCCCCGATGGGGTGGTCGCTAATGAGCTTTAACCGTGCTGATGCCGACATTGGCGAAGGCAGGACATCTGTTGCTGTCCGCGCGGTCGCAGGGAGATCAACAGTCCCCGGAGGCTCCACGCGCGCATGAGTCAGCGGCCGGGGCGGGAAATCTCAAAGCCCGGAGAACAGCATACTCTCAGGGCCCCAGAAGCAAGCTGGACCCACAGGCCCCCAAGGACGAGAAGGGGCCAATCAACACACAAGACATTAAGCGCGCGGTTAGCCAGTCTGCGTCCCTACAGGCCGCCATTCCCTGCACCTGGGCCCCAGATACTCTTGGGCCATCTCATGGCTTCCAAGGAGATCGAACTGGCCACGTCTTGGATGGGCTGACATTAAAAGTGAAATTTAATAAACACAGGTGGAACGCAGACGCAGGCTGGCAGTAACTGTTCCAGATCTCAGCACGAGAGATGCCACCGGGTTCGAGCTCCTCGTCGGAATCTAACGTGGGGGCAACGGCGTGACGTTTGCTTCGACGGCGGGGCCATGGGTGCCTTCGCACCAGTTCACCTCACTAGTGCCGTGAGATGCGGAGATCGAATCCTGCCGCGTGGTGGCCGCACAGCTATTGGTGTAGGGAGGCTTAATTATGGGTCGCCGAGGCACCGGTACAGTACACGTCATCAGCTTGAACAGGTGCGATGCGACTGTGGGAATCTTCGAACACTGGTTCAGTTCCCATCTGCTTCGCCGTTAGTACGGCACTGGCCTTACGATCAATTTCCCTACCGCAAATCGAACAAGTCCTCCGCCGTAGATCACTTTAGCAACGTCGCGAGATCTCATGACCCTCCGCCCTGGGAACTCGCTTTGCAACTGAGGAGTATCGACGGACTGGGCATGCCCGGCCCATCCTCGTCCGACTTTATGCATCTCGGCGAATGCTTGCATTCATTGGGCCCCTGGGGAAGCATGCATCCTACCACCGATAGATCGCCAGAGCAAATCTCGGAGGGGGCGAAGTGTCACGCCCTTTCTAGCCCCCAAGTTGCTTCACTCAACCTACCTAGCTCAACCTATTGCTCCCATATGCCACGTTTCTCCCCTCGTCACCCAGACATCACTCATGCAGGCCAGGCAGTGGCAAAGACCTCCCTGCTCCTGTCGACTCTGGTTCCCCGTGAACTATTGTTGCCGGTTGTAAACACGTTCTCGCATAGCGCAAGCTCGCCTCGCCTCATAGCACAAAAAATAGGGAAGAATATCAGATAAGGCGGCCGCCGTCGACTCGGCCTAATGGGCCGCATGCAGGAGCGCGTCAGAATCGTTGTTGCATGGTGTGGGGACGCCGTGGCTAAAGTTGGTCCGAGGCGCATGACGTGCGGTTGGGATACGGTTCGAGTCACATGCCATAAGTGCCAGGGATAACCAGGGTAAGTCAACCCGTCATTTGAAACAGCTACACGTGGTACAACTCCGATGAAATGCTTCAGCCCACTCTCCCTCTACTGGAAGTAAGTATACAGCGGCTCAGTTCGCGTGTGTTGTGGGAAATGGCGAGCAGAATTGCGTGAAATGGGCTTACCGAACGAACCTTGCCTTGCTCAACCCTAAGCCGTGTTGCCCTTGCCACATGTCGGGCTTGAAGGGGACGCTGTCTCTCGGAAAGGTTCGATGCATAGGTAGCACTGCCTGGCTCTGATCACACACCTCCTCCCGAAACGTATCTTCCGTGTGGAGGATAAAAACCAGCTTACCTTTAGATCTCGTCCGTCTATTTTCATCACCCCCTCGTGAATTCGGGTAGGCGGGGGATTCTGTTCCTGTGCACTCATGTTGCTGGAAGGAGCGTATCCGGCCAGAGCATTGTCATCCGTTCGTGGGCGTTTGGGAGTCGTGTCCCCCGAAGGGCCGAATTTGTGCGGCTGAGGACAGTTGCGCGACAAGCTCGCCGGCGGCGGGAATTGCTCATCCATGGGAGCTAGTCTCGCTGTATGGTAATAGGCGTGGTAACATAGTCAGTGCCAATCTGGAACTTCACCAAGGGAGTGTTGTTAGAATTACAGAGTGACTAGCACAGCAGAGTTGCCGGTCTCCGAGGAGCGCGAGGAATCTCTCCAGGGTCTCTTGCCGCTAGTAAATCTGCATGTATGACGACAGAGATAAGTGCAGCAGTGACTTGCAAAGGGTGTATGAGGCAAGAAGTTCGCAAGGCGACAAAACTGCGGCGCAGGAGTTTTAACCCCTCGAAAAGTTGCCATCAGGTGACTGGTCAGGCGACCCGGCAGCTCGGGGTAAGTTGCTGCCGATGAGGAATAACTGAGAGCTTCCAAAATGCGACAAATCCTCTGTGCTTGGGGACAGCCCCCTCGCCACGCCAAGTTGCGGGCTTAACGCTGGGGAGCCAGACAATCTTGAACGCATCGGCCTTTCCCCGCGATGGGTGGGTGAAAAGGGCCTGAAAATAGGCACAAGGGGCATGATCGGCATTAGCCCCAGCTTAGCTGCGACGGCGATGAGTCGCTGAGCGAACTTGCCCCGCATGGGTCTATGGTATGGGCCGCCTTGCCATTCTCCGCGAACTTCAACGAGGCGGCAAGCCTCAGCCTTGTGGGTCCAGACTTGCGGATTCTTTCCTAATGCAGGGCAAGTCGCAGCGGCACCAATCGTCAGAAGTATTGATTACTGCCTGAGTGTGACCTGTCACATCAAGGTCCACTCTGCCGTCCTATCACCATGCGCTTGTTAGCGCCCTTGTGACATCGCATATTGAGGCCCCCAAAGTCCCCAGTCGCGTCAATCCCTGCTGGGGTTCAATCGACAGACTTAACAGGGTCCCAATGTCCCACGAGAACTGGCTTTTGTGTGGGCGGCGACAGATGTTCAACATTCTTTGTTACTAGCAGGAGAGCTGCGCCAGGTTCGCTCAGGCGGAACACCATTTTGCCTCTCGTGCTGGTCCAAGGGCGGAACAGTGTTCGCTGTCTTCGCGCATTCTCGTGCAGTGTCCCTGAAACCCACATTCTGGACGGAGGCACCCACAACACCGAAAGGAGGTACCCCCAGTCTGCGCATCGGCGCCAGACTGAGCTGCACGGGTAATCCCAAATGAGGCAGGTTGCATTAGCTTGTATTGCTCGTGCCGTCTTGGGCCACAGGACGGTGCAGGCAGGCTAGACAGTCGAAGGACTAGCTGAGCTATCACTCAAGCACGCGCGCCACTTCTTGTCTCTCAACAGCGGGTCCACACAGCGGGAAGAGTGAACAGATACCTCTCCGGTGGCTCAATCCCTGTCGAGCAGTTAGCTCTGGCTGTTCTGCAGCATCGGTGCGGCCGACTGAGCCATCACCGCGAATCCCGGGGCATGCGGGAGGGACGGAGGGGTGCTGGTGAATGTCAAGGGCCGTTACGACTCGCAGCTCGTCTGGTTGTGATCGCGATGATGATGCTGGCGGGTGCCAAACAGGCAATCGCCGAGTCACACGGCAGTGACGGTACGGGGAATCGGGGAAACGCCGAGAGGGAGTTGGGCAATCGAAGGAACTATGGACGGTGAGGAGAGGCTTTCCCTGCTCACAAGCTCCAATCCCCTGAAGAAGATCTTAGGAACTTCGCAGATTCAGGGACAAGGCCTTCGGAGTTGTAGTTCCACAGGCTGAGCGAGGTACATTGGTAGGATATATAGTCTCCTCGGACTAGCTGTAGAGTGGTAGGAACTTAGAATCAACAATGACGCCACATTACGCATCCCGAGCTTACGGCATACTACCTCGATGGATATAGATCACCTTGACGAACTGCGAGATTAAATTCTTCAAGATAACAAATCGTTCCTGCAGAGATCAAATACATTGGTTAGCTTGCCAACCCATCATCTTCAACGTCGACGTCAACTGTGATTGCGGAATTCGCGACGGCGGAGGATGCAAACCGAATTATCGACGAAGGACCATCGCTGAAGTGATTGACTTGGCTGACAGCCGACGCGATGCCTATTACAAGGAAATACTACACTTTATCCTGACTGGTTGCACGAGTCAACTCGAACGATCTGTCTCCTTGCCGTGGATCTGAACTTTGACTCTCGTGGTCGCTGCTCAGAGACGAGACGAGTGCCGCTGTTCAATCGGTGCAGCGCGGCTAGCAAGTTCGGCTCTTCGTCCCAGTCAATGGGACCAGCGTACTCTTCTTTATAGGGAGCGGCGAGCCGCAGCATACACCTGGTTGGCGTGGAGGTGTAGTTGCCTCACGAGTCGAAGGCAAGGTTGCGGCAAGCTCTCCCTGGGTAGCCTTTGTAAGTCATCGTCACTCGGTGGGCTCAATCGTGAGCGGCTGTCCGCAATCTTGGTGGCAAGTCGTGACGGTTATCTGGAGACTGCGGATGGTGCTTTCCCTGGCTAAGTATGAACCGTCAGTGAGGCCTCGGCTGAATGCCATACGGTGAAAGCCATTGCTAATGGCAAGCTAACACTTTGGTCGACAACTTGGTCGGCATTCTGCGCGCAATACTGCGCCGCGGTTCAAGAATCGATGAGGGGCACAACTCGGACGGCGCTTTGTTCAGAATGATACGAATAGCGAATGTTCGTGGTAGATGCTGTCTTGACTGGCCAACTACTCACCGCCGCGGGCGTCACCGACTGGCAGCATAACTTGGGGTACTTTCTGTTCAACGTTGCTTCTTCGCAGACTGAGAGTGAAGTACGATGCAGGTGTGCGACGGGAGAAGCTGAGAGAGCAGACTGGACAGAGAGGGTCTGGGGCATCGGCCCTTGACCCTTCCGTGGCCGTTTTTACCCAATTCTCATGTGACGCAAGTTTCGGCTCCTCGATACACTGCAGCGGCTTCTACGATGGAGGATGGACGGCCAAGTTGCGGATTGACTCTCCCGCCCACTCAGAAGAGCCATTGTCGGCGCTCAGACGAGGGTGTCAGCGTTGCAGGCAAGCGTCAACATGGATGTCCGGTGCGATGGTGTGGAGAATCGCGGGGTGAAGGTTGATGGTGTGAAGCAAAGAAGCTGCTGGAGGGCTGAATGACAGGGGACACGGATCCTTGTCTGCA